AAAGACTAACATTAAAGGGTGTATTCGATTAAAAGAGCACACACATATTTACTCACCAAAATTAAACCGATTATGGGATTTTCTTGAAATTTCCAGGAAGTGAATAACTACTAATAAGTGATGATTTACAAAATTTGCTTTATTCAATTTCATCTCCCATCCCGCACTTTCCTTTTCACTCCACCCATCAAATTTTGTACAACCGATTTTCCCAGTGTTTTTGTTGTTTTTACCCATATTTTCTTCAACTCCAGCTTTGTTTTAATAGTTTTGGGATGTTCCGTCTTCCTAATTGCCCAGAATTTTTCAATTGGGTGAAGTTTCGGTGAATTTGGTGGGTTCATATCTTTTGGCACAAAATTGACTCCATTGGCTCGGTACCCGAGCAAAGTCGGTTAACAAAATGAAAGCAAATCGATATTAAAGTGTGCAGTTCCTATCATAATGAAAACTCATTTTGATTTCAAATGTTGCGACATAAGTCTGATATCATATTGTGCTTTCATTATGCAGTCAAGACGTTTTAAATGAAAGCAACTTAACTTGAAGTTCTGCTGTTTACGTCTTGTTTAAAATTTAATTGAAATTAATCTGTCGTTGAACTAATGATTATCTTTTATCTGATTTGTTTAACACATTTTAGGTCATTCGTGACTTGCCCGCGGTGAGATTGGAGCCTAAGTCTTTCAGCTTGAGAAACATGAATGGTAACCATTTACTCTACCCGAGCAAAGTCGGTTAACAAAATGAAAGCAAATCGATATTAAAGTGTGCAGTTCCTATCATAATGAAAACTCATTTTGATTTCAAATGTTGCGACATAAGTCTGATATCATATTGTGCTTTCATTATGCAGTCAAGACGTTTTAAATGAAAGCAACTTAACTTGAAGTTCTGCTGTTTACGTCTTGTTTAAAATTTAATTGAAATTCATCTGTCGTTGAACTAATGATTATCTTTTATCTGATTTGTTTAACACATTTTAGGTCATTCGTGACTTACCCGCGGTGAGATTGGAGCCTAAGTCTTTCAGCTTGAGAAACATGAATGGTAACCATTTACTCTAGGCCCGTATTCAGTTAAACATTATGAATGCAAAATTAGTAATCAAATTGATTTCATTGAAAGCAGGATTAGTTTTCCGTTTGCTTCAATAGTGTAAAATTTTGCTCTCTTTTTTGCTGTGTTAACCGTTAAGTCAACCAAAATGAGATCAACTGGAGTATTCAAAATAAGTTACATCATAACAGCAAATTTTGATTTCAATTTGATCTTCAGCTTTGCTCGGGTACCACTCCAAAACGTTTCGAGTGTAGTGGCAGGATGCTAGATCAGGCCAAAAATGAGTTTATCCTTTGTGCTTCCTTATGAATGGCAACAGACGCTTCTTAAGGCACTCTTCCATGTAAATCGCACCGTTAATTGTTCCGGAAGTGATGAAGGAAGCGCTTATTTCACCACATCCGTAAATCGCCTGCCAGATCAGGAACTTCTTTGCCAATTTCGATAATTTTTTGTTTCGAACATCCTCCGAAATATCGAACAACGAAATATTCTTGCCCAGAATGTTGACGGATGTAAGTTTCGTAATCCATCACGATGTAACACGATTTGGTGAGCAACTTCGTGTGAAGTTTCCGGGCGCGGGTTTTCGCAGTGATGTTTTGCTTTTCATTCCGGTTTGGGGCTTTTTGCACCTTGTAAACATGTAACCCAGCACGCTTCATGGTTTTCTGCACAAAACCGACACCTTGGACTTTTTAGCGACATCTCGAATTGACATGTTTGGACGGTTCTTGAACTGTTGCACCACTTTCCTGGTCATTTTACTGTCCATTGGACCACTTTTACGACCACTCCCTTCCTTCCTTCGGGCACTCAGACGCTCTTTGAAAGTTCTTATCACAAGAGACACAGTTGTATTTGCAGTTGCAAGCTTTTTAGCGATCCATCGGTGGGACACCTCTGGATTTTGATTGTAAGTGCACAAAATTTTTCCACGTAAAATTTATTGTTTTGACTACTGTTTGAATAACTATGAAACTTGACAGATGTAAACAATACACTATGAATAAGATTTACTCAAATTTTGAGGTTTTTTTACTCATACGGTTTAAAAGTTACAGAAGATTTTCGGTGTGCCATTTTTATCGAATACACCCTTTATAATCATCAGGGGTGTCTAAATCTTTTCTGGATCCGAATATTGAGTTAGGTACGCTAAGAAAATTTCCAGAATAAAGAAAGGAAACTATCCAGCTACACTCAAAAATATTGCAAAACGAATAAAGATTAAATTTTATGCATTTTATGGTTATTCGAAATTTATGCATTGTTACGATTAAAATTTTCGTCAAAATTATACTAAATCTGATTATTGGAATGGAATTCGGTCAGTGTATACTAAAATTTCGTTTTTCAGTTCGTATTTATTTTGTTGCTGCTATTATTTTGCGTTGAAGTCGTGCGTTTAGTGTTTTATATAAATACAATTACAATTATAACTGTTTACCTATTTCCAATCCTGCTTGTTTGCCTAGCTTGACTTGTGTGCCAGAAAAGTTATGTGATTGGTATTTTAAAATTATTATTAAAGACCATCGCTTGAGAAGAATTGATCGTTGCAGTATCCTTGTTCTCTAGAAAATCTCTGTGTAAAATATCCTGCTTCACTTCGAATGCCCAGATTCCATATCGCTTCTGTAGGCGCGTTCTCCGCATAAACGCGAGCCATAACTTGACCTTACCGAAAATGGTTAAAAATTGTTTATTGCTAAACATTAACTGAAATGGTTATGGAACTTTACATGAACGTTTGTGTGATAAAGTTTTAACCTTATGTATTATGGTTTTTTTGGAAGTGAACCTTACAAATAATGGGTTGTTAAGAACCATTACCATTCAAAATAGATGTTTTCTCCATACATTTTTGGAGAGAGGACTATATTAGAACCTTTTTACTTATGGTTTGAGAACTTTAATGGTAATGGTTATGGTATCCAGTAAGGTTTTGTATTATTGGTCAACTTTAAGTGGAATATATCGCGAATTGGTAATCAGTAATTTACAGGCAACCAATTTGCGATATATTCCACTTAAAGTTGATGGATGTTACAAAACCATCTATGAACCTTACCGACTACCATAACCATTACCATTAAAGTTCTCAAATCATAAATAAAATGGTTCCAATATAATTCCTTTCCCAAAAATGTATGGAGAAAACAAGAATTTGGAATAGTAATGGTTCTTAACAACCCACTTCCAAAAAACCATAATACATAAGGTTAAAACTTTATCACACAAACGTCATAACCATTTCAGTAAAGTTTAGTAGGGAACATAAGCAATGTTTAACCATTTTTGGTAAGGTCAAGTAATGGTTGGCATTCATGCGGGAAGTATATTTCGATTGTATACTATGGCAGGCATAAATCATTTTTATACTAAGTTTGCATTCTCTCCCTTTATAACGTCCTGTCGGCACGGAGAGTTTCGATTTAGCGTAATTTTTATACTATTTAGCTTTCAATATTTTTTGTTTGTATGTTTTCATACCTATCTTAACACTCCGAACACGATACCTTCGGTAAAATGTGTAACGGCAAACACGCAATGTTTGAAAAATTATAGCTCAGCCAATTATTGACAAATTCCAAATCTGTTGGCGTCATTTAAAACTACAAACTTAAATATGTATTCAATATCAATATATTTAAAATGCATCGATAATTTTTTTTTCAAACATTGCCAATTTTCTGTTATACATTTTCGGGATGCATTGTGTTCGGAGTGTTAATTCAAAATCAGACGAAAATATTCACATTTACAATCAAGGAAGAGAAATCAGTCAAGGTCGAATAATGTGGTTAGGTGTGTCGCACGACTGATCACTTTCCCAACGGCCAATGTGGTTCCGGACAATCAATATCCCTTCCACGGGTAACACAGGAAAAGTAGACAGAATCTGATGTAAACTTAAATCACATCAAATTATACGAAAATAGCAACCGAAAGTAGCATCCCAAGTAGCACACGTTGTCACAATTGAATTGGCACAATATGCGAAAAAAAACTCAAAAGTGAAATCTGAATAACCGCGACTCTTTATCTAACAGCTGAGCGGCTACGCCACGTCAAACAACGAATCGGAAAATATCGACTTTCTTCGATTTACATGAAACTTTGCTTAATCCACTTTGGACAATGATTCACATTGTAGCTAAAATTGGGCCATTTTGGATCTTGTAAAATTTTCATATTTCAAAATTCAGTTCCAATTCCATTCAAAGTTCGGTTAAAAAATTTCGCTATTCAAAAAGCATTTCATAAAACAAAAAAAATAATTGATCTTTGCAAAATAGTTACATATTCCAAAATTATTTTATCCTGCATTCCCAAATTAACTTTTGATTTCTCTCCAATCATCTATTCTAGACACTTTCAGAAGTTTTGATGACGCATAATTTTACTGATGTAATCAAGGCTTTCACTTTTTGTGTTTTTTGTTAATCTGGTGCGTGTCTGAAGACAGAAAAACGAACCACATGCTAGATGGCAAATCGACAAGCGTGGAGTATTAATTCTCCCACAGCTGCTAATACAGAATAAGGGACTTGTTGATATATTGTTTCTGAGCTGCTATTTGACCATTTTCAACTCTGATTCAGGTTCAACAATCTGACTTCGTTAGGCTTTTTGAGATTTCGTTCATCATAAATTATCGAACGCAACAGACTGTGAACTAGTGTTGAGTCATGGCCCTAATGCTGCCTGGATCTGGAAACTAGAACTGCATCTGGTTCCCTTCTCGGGGTGATGACCGACTAGTTGGGGTCATAGTCCTTCTCGAAAAAAATGTAAGCACGGTACGAGAAAAGAAATTCTGACCGAAAGAGAAATTCTTTAAAAGTAGAAGCTTATAAATAGCTGCGCTCTGCATCGGAACCACTTACAACCAAAGCGCAATTCGATAGTGAAAGTTCATCGTTCCATTGAGCATGAACAAGTGGATACTTTTCTTAGGGCTGGCATTAGCCACTGCCAGTGTGGTTTATGGCGATTTTGGTGTCCCGATTAATGTGCCGAATTTATCTGTCGGAATACGGTTGGCCATCGGACTTGGAGTGCAACCAGTGATGTTCGTGAGAAATGCAATCAGCGTCAATGCCAGTCTTGACCCCAGCGGGGTACTTCCCGTGCTTGAGATTATAGTTCGTAATGTAACCTACCCGATGGGAGATTTGCTGACGGCTATTTTACGCGCTTCGAGTAATTCGGTATCGGATGTGACATCAGTGTTTCAACAGCTGCAAAACTTGACCACCAGCACATCGCTAGCCATCGCAAATGCACAAACCGTTGCTTCTACTCTTCAAACGTCCATTTCGTCTACTCTGTTTTCAAATCTTACCGACAGTTTGAACTTGCTGGCAAATCAAGTGACGGATCTGGGCCTTGCTTTGCAGCAATTAATGTCATCGTTTAAAACAATTTCAACATCCTATCCACCGTATTCGGTGGCCAATGTGTCCATGATAGTAACTCCTGGCTTAGTGTCCACTGTTACCACACCGCTGAGATACCTGAGCAACACGATGGTTAGTGTGACGGTTGATGTTTTATCCATTGGAAGAGATCGTCAGAATGCCATATATTACTCGAATTCTATAAACAATACATTGGCAAACGATAACGCCACCTTGGCGCAGTACGTCATGGCAGTGAATAAAACTGCAACGAGCACCCTACATTCCGCAATACAAATGGCAAACATTGCCCTGGCAGGAATTACACTGTCCTATACCTACATCGAAGCATCACCTTCCAACTACAACAACGGAAACCTAACCAAGCTCAATGCTTTCCTCACCAATGTAACTGCTGTGAACGGTACGGCATTCGCCAAGGTAGTGGACGCTACGAATGCCCTGGTGGGAAATGTTAGCTTAACGGTGAACCAGGAGACGATGAAAGTGGGAGCAACACTGTACACTGCCATACAAAACCTGACGAATCAAACTTCCATCAGTAGCAGCCCGTTTGCGGATACATGCCTGCAGAACTACGCTCAGGAGCTGACCGGACCGTATTCTTCGCTGACTCGCTTTTTGCCGTGCATCCAACTGGAACTGGGAGGCTTTCTACCGATAACGCAAGCTGCAACGGTTCGCTTCAGTGCCGTACGGACTTCGGTTAGCTCGTCTGCTATGAGGTTAAATTTCTGCTCAATCCCGAATGGCAACTGTACCGTTTCGGTAAGGTTCATACGTTAGATAGGATTGTAGGTAAATTGATTTCAAATTTGATATCGTTTTCAACAGTACTTCACCGACTTTGACGACTACACGGTTCGACTGACGAACGGGATGACCCTGGCCACGGAAGTCGTAGCCTTCGGGATGTACAATATCCAAGGGCGGATGACGGATTGCGTGAGGGCTGTATCCTGCGATATTCAAGATGTGATCGATACGGTGCAGGAGAACTACGGTACATGTTTGGCCACGGGATCGTAGATGACTGGGTTCAATCGTGGGTTGGAAATCATTTTGAGGCATTAATGATTCTTTGATAAGATTCAGACTGTGCACTGATTATTCAGACGTAATTAAAAATATAAAACATTTTGAAAGCTTTGAACTTGTCTATTATTGTATTGCAGCCACCTTCTAGTTCGATTTGTGTTCCCAAAATATGAGCCTGTTCAAAATTGGATAGGATTGATGAAAGCTAGGAGAGTTTTGATCTTTTCAGATTAGTTTCGAACACTTCAGTGATGTTCCATGAGCTTTAGTGAATAACCGAGGCGTTCAGAGATGTTTCAAAAACCTTGGGAAAGATTAAAGATCTTTAAGGGATGATTCCCACAAATTTATTTAAGTTCTATGAACTTTAGGATTTTTCGTGAACATAGATGAACATCAGAGAACTTCATGACAGTTGCATTAAATTCAAAACAATTCCAGGAACTTTACAAGACCTTCAAGAAATTTCAGAAAACTTCAGGTAAGTTCGAAGATCTCCAAAAAAATTTAGAGAGCTTCGAAAAAGTTCTGGGAATTTCATGGCAGTGCCATGAATATCCGGATTTTTTTTTTGAAAACTTTTGGAAAATTCAGAGAACTTCAGGTGCGTATGATTAGTTTCATAATATTTGCAGTAAATTAACAGCAAATTTCCAAGAACTACGGACAGAAACCTTCAAAGAAATTAAGAATCCCATAAACGTCAGAAAAATTGTGGGAACTTAAATAAAGTCCCAAGAACTTCGGATTTTTTTTTTTTTAATTTTATGTAAGTTGTGTAAGTCCAGGAAAAACTGAGAATTTTATAGAAATTTTAAGAATTCAAAGGAATTTCCGAAAACTTCAAGAACTTTCAGAGCTTTCAGAACAACATGGAAGTTTTAAGATCGTTAGGGTAGCTTCCGATAGGTTTCATAGATGACAGAGAAGTGAAGATCCAAGAGATTCAGAGCTATTCAATTAAATTCAGGAAAATTTCAGGAGCTTCCGTTGTACAAAACTTCAATTGAGTTAAAATATATTAAGGGATGTTACGTAACTTCGGGCAGTTCATGATTATCAGGAAAAGCGTGCGAACTTCAGGGAAATACCTAAAACTTCAGAGAAGTTCCGAGGTCTTCAGGTGAATTTAAGGGAACTTAAAAGCATTTCCATTAAATTCAAGAAAATAGCGAGAAGCTCCAAAAAGTTCCAAAAATTAATAAAAGTCTAGAGAACATTAAGAAGTGTAAAGAACATGAAAAATGTCAGAAACATCACAGAAAGAAAAAAAAAACAATCACGGTACTGCAGAAAACTTCGCGAAGCTTAGAGGTTCTTAGGGCAGTACATATTAATTACAGGGCAATCCCTAGAACATTACCATAAGAGTAGTGAGAACTCAAGGATTAAATATATTAGAATTTTGAAGAAGTTCTGATGAATGAAAGGAAATACTGAGGGTTTTAAAGAAGTTTAATGAACAGACTGCGGGATAGTAACCCAAGTAACAATTTAGTAACCATTTAGCATCCACTCTGATTTATGATGGTTTTATAACGGAAATGAACAATCCATTTAGTTTAAATTTAGCATTTTAAAGTGTAATACATTCCTGCTTAGTAATAATATAGATACAAAAATAAAATAAAAAAAAATCTTGGCCATGCTCGATCTGAAGAATATATTTTATTTTTTAATGTTAAATAATTAGTCAAATCGACGTTTTACGAGAGTGGACTTAATTTTTTCGATTTTTTCACGTACATTTTACATAAAATTTAATATGGCACTTAAAACTAAGCTACTTAATGAGAACTATTGTAATAAATTTGAATAGTCAACAAGATTTTTATACCATCAGTTTCTATTTAAATTATTTTAATAAGATCGGATTCATAAATCCTTTTCTATCTTGATTGATGCTTTCCTAGTGGATTCAGCATGCGGCTAGGGGAAATGGCTCGGAAAAGGTTTTTATTGTTGCTAAATAGCTTTTATTGTAGCTTTCAAATGCTTCTCAATGCGTTCGTCATACAAACTTTTGCAGTAAATAAATCTTGAAGAGCTTCGAGAATACACCCTTCAGAACCTTCTCCAGGATGGGCCAACTAGACATATTTTAGTCTTAATGAGGTTTTGGTGGATGAATTAATGACAAAATAGCCTTGACCAGGGTTTTTTTAATGTTGTTTTATAGTTGCTTTGTAGTATTTCATAAAACTTAAAATGTTACTTGGGAAGGAAACTTCCGTAAAATTTCGAGCACTTCAGGCAAGCTTTGATAATTTTAAGGTGGTTTCATAAGCTTCATGTAATCTGCAGGAGCTTTAAAAAGCTATTGGAATTTCAAAGATATCCAGAGAGCTTCAAGAAGTCAAGAAAACTTAAGAAACAAAAGAAATTCAGAAAACACGAGGAAAATTGCGAAAACTTTAGAGAGGTTCCAACGAAGATAGGTCTACAGCAACCCTGATAGCTTAAAGATCTTAAGGCTGTCACAATAGCTTCAGGGACGTTCAGACTTTCGGGCAAGCTTAAAAACCTTGAACGTTAGATTCGATGAATTTAGGACCGCACCATGAACGTCAGCAAAATTTTGAGAAATTTTAAGAAGTTCATGGAATTTCAGGTAAGTCCTACAAACTCTAGACATGTTTTGTGAATTTCAAAGAAGATCAGAGAGGTTTAAAGATTTTTAGGACAGTTCTATTTATTACAGGGCAGTACTAGGATCTTCAGGATATTTCCAAGAGCTTCATGGTGGCTTCGAGATCCTCTGAGGAGTTCAAATAATTTCAAATAAATTACAGGAACTTTACAAAAGTTTCAAGAAAATCAGGGAATTTCCGAAAACTTCAGCAAAATTTTCGACATTTTCAAAGTTAGTTTAAGAGAATTCTAGAGTAGTTTAAAGATTTTTAAGCAGTTTCATTATTTTCAACGATGTTCCAAGTTTTTAGAAGAAGATCAGAGATCTTCAGAGCATTTCTATTAATTAATTGCAGGAACTTTCAAGTAGTTCTCAAGAATTATGGAATATTTCGAGAATTTCAGGGTTGGTCTGAAAATTCCAAAAATTTGTGGGATCTTCAAGAAAGTTTCAAGAATATAAGGAAGATCCGAGAACTACTTGAATATATAGGAAACGTAAGAGAAAATTCGACATCTTTTTTGAAAATTTAGGTAATTTCAGTGAAATTTTAATATTTAATTGGAAGTTCCAAGAGCTTGAAAGATGCATCGAAAACATCAGAAAAATTGTGGGAGTTTTCAGATAGATCAAACAACATCACGATAGTTTAATAATCTGCAGGACAACTTTTCAAAATCTCTGTGAAATTCCGTTCTAGAGAACATTATTCAAGTTCAGAGATCATAGGACAGTTCCAATAACTTGAGGGTAGCTTCAAAAACTTCGAGAAGACTAGACTTTCGGGAAAGTTTACAGATCTCGCGGAATTCGTCATTTTGTTTCAGCTTTGAGTCATCAAGACAATGTTTATCAGTTTTATCGTCGTCAACGTTTCAATCCAGGGGTTGGGATTTTCATCAGAGCTAGCTTTAGTTAGTTAGTGCGAGAAATCAATGTATTACTATTTAATAAAAATATAAGATTTTCAGGGATCACCCTAAGTAACTTATTAGAAATCCAGCACAAACATTAAAGATAGGATTTTTTTTCTTCAGCAAAACTAAAAGTAACAGTTTCAGTCCAAACATTTTTGTCTTCATAAATACGTTTTTTAGTGGTCCAGGAATGTAGTCTAGCGGAATAAAAAAAGAAAATGATTTCTCCAGAACGAACCTTTTTAATGCCGTGTCTTGTGCAATGTTTTTTTGGAATGAAGGTTGCCATATTTTGATACAAAAAATAAATGTACTAAACTTGTACTAAACTGCTTTTCAAAATCTAACTGTTTAATGATTCAATTTGAAGAGTTGGTGTCTTCCACAATGTTTCATTATTAATTAATATGAAACTCTTAACAAGACTTCAAAATAGCAGCGGCCTTGGTTTTCAAGATATTGATTTTATTTAATAGGTGAAACAATGGGTATTAAACTATTATTATTTACACTTAAATATGTTTTTTATCATGAAAAGTAGTAGTTTTTTTAAAGGTTATTCAATAAAACTTGAAACTTTTTCACCCTATTTTGACGCTTAGTTTTAAAGATATTGAACCAAAACTAAATTCGACATATAGTTCAAAAATCATATCTTCATAATGGCACATAATCGCATTTTAGAATTTCCAGAATTAACATTTTATATTGGATGTATGCTGAATAAATTTTAGGTCGGAACTCCTCTGAACTTTTGATTCAAGAACCGCAAGTTCTTTATAAAACTGATGTAATTTTAGTATAAGTCAACTCTGCTTTACTCGAACTCTCTCTTAATTGATATCCTCCCTGACTCGATGGAAATCCAGGCTACTTTGACCACGCTTCTCATACACATTTCTAAACTTTACCGCCAAAACTCAATGTTCCTCCTAGCTCGATGATCCCTTCAATATCAAACTCTCCTACTGTATCCTTAGCGTACCCAAGCTTTTTCGACTAAAAAATAATATTATTACGTAATTTTTTAACTTATTTTGAATAAACAGCTTTCACTAGATCACAAATTATAGTTTTTGATTTTGCGAAAGTTGGCCATTATTCCGGTCTTATTAGGAAATAATTTGGGAATTCCTCAGGGTCAGAACGGTTTCTTAAACAAAAATCGATCAATAAATGACGAAATGGAAGAAATCTCTAGTTTTCTAAGTGCAAAATCTGGGTATGTAAAGGTTAACATCGACGATGTTTTAAACGTTTAAGCATTGTCATACAATGACCTACTGCGTTCCTTTCAGCGGTCTTGACAAGTACATTAAAAAATTATATCATTTCTGAAAAGAACTTATATTTCATAAAATTGTTCAAGGATCAAAAGATCCAAGGAGTTCCGACCTAAAATTTATTTAGCATACACCCAATATAACATGCTGTTAGACCAGAAAATTCTAGGGTGCAATTTAGTGCATTTACGTAGATATTACTCTTTCAGCGATTAATTTCCAATTTACGGATTAATTCCAAGAAGCAGTTCCACAGCAGCTGTCGAAAAAACAAGGTTTTAATGAATATCCAGCAAAAATAATTCAAATTTGTCGATGCACACTATGTTTTGTTTTCAGTATTCAGCTCATTTTTATACTTGCGGTATAATTTTGACAGCTGCTGTAAAATTCTACGGTAGCCACCAAAAGGACATTTTTTCTTAAGATCCGTAATATGATTATTGAATGATAGGTCACATTTGATGGTTTTGCTCCACTATCCTTAAAACTAAGCAAAATATGGTGGTATCATCAAGTTTCGATGAATCACGTTTTCAAAAAAAAAAAAATAAAAACTACTACTTTTATGATAAAACAAAATTAATATTTAAAAGCAAAAGCAGATTTGTAAAATCAGATTCAAAAAAACAATTCCTTGAAGACAAAGGCTGCTGCCACTATGACGTCTTGGTAAGAGTTTCATATTTTTCAATAATCAACAACTTTGTGAAAGACACCAACTCTTCAAAATGAATAATTAAAAAAAATATTTGAATAGCAGTTTAGTACAAGTTTAGTACATTTATTTTTTGTAAAAAAAAAATGGCACCATCCATTAAAAAATAAGAAAAAACCAAATCAACAAAATGTCTGCTTTTGGAGCTATTAATGTTGTTCCGCTAGATTGCATTCCTGGACCACTGCGGCATGTACAATGCGTCTAAGACATTTCACACCTCACCCTTTTCTAATTTAGAAAAATAAAAAAAAGCTTCGAAATAATGCTTCTCGCTAACTATATTTATTCAAACAACTGGAACCGCCCGAACCGTTGTCAAGCATTTCGTGAACTTGTTCAAAATGTTCTGGGCATTCGTCACAATATCTTCGCCGACTCCGGTAAGACAGTCGACGATCCGCCCGGTTACAATATGCTCATCGTTGCTAACTCCGCCGGCGACAACCGAGATCTTGTTCTGCACCCTCTGCGAATGATCTGGCAGTGCTGCAAAGAACTGAATAAGAAGAAAATAGAAAATTCTTCATCAACTAAACTGACTCGCTCGAGAAGTAGCTCATCTACTTACATAACTGGTGCACGGTCCGGTGTCCCGTTGACATATTCTGGACAACTGGACAGCAATCGAAGCGGCTGCACTCTTTACGCCCTCCATCTGTACCTGAACGAATTGGGTCGTCGTACGGAAGCTGTTCGTTTCGGATTGCATGCAGCTGACCAGCCGGCCCATGGACACCGGGCTCTGCTGCAGTTGCTGTACGGCTTTCTGCGTGCAGGACGCAGTATTGGCGCTTGAGTTCGTTACGGACTGGGCGGTTACATTATTAACGATGTTGACAAGCGTTCCCGTTACCATTGCGGTTTGCTCTTCGAGCGCTTTAGAGACCTGCTCCATGCTGTAGTTGGTGCTGAGATCGACAAACTGTGTGAAACTCGCGTTGGCAGTTGCCATGTCCGCTAGGAATTGCGTTAAATTGCGGATGTCTCCACCGTAGGATTCGGCGCGGACAACAATCGATGCGTACGTTTGATTAATAGCCTTGAAGGTAGTGGCTTGTTGCTGACTGATTCGTAGGTAGACATCCAGTACGGTGCGATTGAAGTTGACTGCCGCACTCGCAATATTCCGAATAGCAGTGCTGATGGTTTCGTTGAGTTGCGTCTGATAGTTTATGGCCTGACTTCGCTCGGTTGCGATAATGTTGATAGTAGATGCAACGCTGGTGAGGTGATTTCTTATGGCTTTCAGAGGAGTTGTCAGGTTGGCCACTACGGTTTTGTTGAAGTAGACTGTTATGTTGGTAATTGTGGGCGGATACTCGGCACTAGCCGCAATTTCTACTTGCGATTTCACAATGTCCAGTCCACTCGAAAGATTTTTCAACACTTTGTTGAGCGCAGTCAAATTTCTGTTCATTTGATTATATAAGTAGGACTTGGTAGTCATCTGGAGATTCTTTGCAGTTGATGATGCGGCACTGATTGAAGTTGATGTATTCGTAATCAACGTGGAAATGTTGTTGAAGAGTTCTTGACTGTTCACATCCCTGCTGCTGGCACCTGCCAAAATGCTTCCCAGCAACCTGTTCATCGGATTGGTCACATTGTTCGCAATAGTTATAAGTGTCTCAATGGTTCCACTGGTGTCAGCTCCCGTTTCCACTTTAATCGAAGCATTTGCCTTAACCACTGAACTTATTCCACTCCCGATAGCACTGGCAATGCTTGCCGTAACGGTCGGTGCCGATACATCCAGTCCAAATCCACATCGAACTCCACTGATGACACTCAGCACCAACACCGCAACTGGCACTAACCGACTCATTTCTATCTGCCAGATTGACCTTCGAAACCGAACTTGATCGAACTGCGAATCGACTGAAGCCAATTGCCACCGGAGCATGAGGCTTTATACCTTCATCCTCGATCGGGAATACAAAATAGCAACTATCCCAAAAATCTGAAAAAAGTTCAAATCATCCCGGTCTGGCTGAATAAAAAAAAAATCATTAATCATGATGGTTCAAATATTGCCAGAAAGACGAGAGGAAGAAAGCATCCACTTTCATCGTGACTGCCAATAGGAAAGAATCGATGACGAAGCTAAATTGCAAATAGGCAATATCATTTTGAACAAAATGTTTGGTTTGAAATGATGAAATTTTCCACAGAATTATAGATTCACCTATTCATAACATTAAATGTAGATAGCTTTAAAAAATTGCAATCTTCTTACTACAACAACTTTCTCATGATGTGACCATTTTCCTTGCTTCGTTTTATCATTCCATTCCTCTCATTCTTCTTCCAGATTTATCAAGATTCCAATCTTCACAGTCACCGCCTAACGGACAATCTCGAAAGGTTCTGCCGAAGAACCGATTGAACAGGTCACCCACTTCCCCGTGGTGGAAGCAATTGGGAAACCAGTTCTATCAGAAAACCGATCACGAAATTTCGGAACCCAACACGCACAGCACAAAAAGGCTTCGCATAATCATTCCAAAAACGCACAACAGTGGAAAAAAAAAGTAGATCTTTAGTAAGACATGGAAGTGGCTGCAGCAGCATCTTCGGCGGCATCGTCCAGCGCAGCCGGTTCGGCACTGCGCGGCCCCTTTCAAAGGGAGGTACGTGAGTGGCAACATGTCGATCCAAATACGGGAGCCCTGCTGACAGGCCGGCTCGAGGCGGATCGCTGGGTCAACGGACCCTTGAACAGCTACGGGAAGGTAGGTTTTGTTTTTGCTTTCCTAAGTTTACCTCTCCTTAATCGAGATGATGCTGATGGGAGGAAAGTGCCCCAGCAGAATGTACCTCATAGTTGGAAGCTTGAATATAACTGTTTTTAGCTGTTTCAGTTTGGTTTAGGTCAATGAATTCCTTCCGTTGTCCGCGCATCTTGGTTTTGAAAAAAATGAGTGTGGTGAATTAAGGATTTATAATTTACAGACCAAAAATATCTAAGTACCAATGGCACCATACCGTAAAGATTTGCCGATAGCTTGAACTTAAAACGTAGGATATAATGGTAATAGGATGTAATCATATCTCAAATGATAAAAGTATTTTTTTTTTTCTGGAAAAACACATTCCAGTCGGGATTTCCTTTCTAGAAAATATTGAAACCCGTTAGCTCAAAACCATTGAGCATGATTTGGGAAATTTCGTAAGCCTGCAAATTTTCCGGGAAGCTCGAGATCTGTAGATATTTCTTGAGTCTGATGTAGAAAACATTTACTGCTCTAGATCTGTGTTTGGGATCTAAAAACAGCGCTTTGGATTCATGAGATAACTCGACTTATCTGAAAATGATCGGGTTCTAATAGCATATAATACAAATATGTGAAGTCTGGAAAAAGTTATTTTTTAATTCGAAGTTGTAAAACGTTCAGTTGCATGAAGGCACACCTTTCTTCGATTTGTGATTTATGCGATGCTTACACGCAAACCAAAAATGTTTTACAACACGCAAACCAAAAATCTATTACAATGAATATTAGTTCCGCTTCCTATCAACCTCTGTTCATGAACATCGCAACAAATGTTAGAAATTGACCATGCAGGTGATGTAATGGTTTTTTGTCATTTTTGTTTATTTCGGAATTAGTTTTTTTTTTATTTATTTCGGAATTATCTTGGAACTATCTGCAGGATTCACTAGAAATTATTCGCATAATAATCATGGAATCATCCCCAGAAATCTTTTCTTTTGGAACAGTCCTCAGAATTCAATACCCTTGAGGTTCTTCTCGGAAGTAAAGTTTAAGTTGCCCGTTCACCAGAACTGTGCAATTTTTACATCAGGAATTTTCAATTCAGCTTGCCCCTCCATGCAGCACATTGTTGCAAATCTTACACCAGAAATTTTCAATACAAACTTGCCCCCAGGTAATTTTAGACCAGAAAATTTAAATTGACCAGAAGGGTGTACGTTTTCCACCGTTAATAAAAATTGCTTATCCAATCTTCTGATTCGTGCAGATTTCCATTTTCCATTTTCTACCAGACATTTTCAATATAGCTGGCTTCTCCCATCATCTGAATGTTGCATGTTTTCCACCAAATAAAGCTTGCCCCTATTTTCGGATTTTTCATCATAAATTTTCGGATTTGCATCCGAATGGTGCAAATTTTACACCAGAAATTTTTATTAAAATTGTTTCTGTATTCAGCAGAGGGATGCAATTTTAAGACCAAATTTTTTCCGAAAAGCTTGCCCATCCGTTCACCAGAACGGTGCAGATTTTCCACCAGGAATTTTCAATAAAGCTTCATTTTAAATAAAGCTTGTACCTTCATTTACCATATCAGTGCAGGTTTTCCACCATAAATTTTCAATGAAGCTTGCATTCATCAGAACGATGCAAATTACGTACCAGAAAAATGAATAAACCTTGCTCTTACATTCACCACAGTGTTGCGAACTTTCCACCAGAAATTTTTAGTGCACCTCCAAATTTTTAGCGTGATTCAATTTTTTCCACTAGAGTTATTCATTTTGATTAGTCGCTCCATGCACCACCACCTTGATGATATTTTTACACCAGAAATATTCATTTAAAAGCTTTTTCTTCGATTTACCACCACGAAGGTAAAGTTTTTCAACCTTAAATTTATCATCTTCTTTTAACCCTCCATGAAACACCTTGGAAAAAAAAATACACCAAGTTGTGGTGTAATTTTTTGACCAAAAAATTTCATTGAAGTTTGTCCCTGCATGCACCTTGTGGTACAAAATATTTTACCTTCAATTCAAGTTATCAAGAAATCAAGTAATTTTATATTCTAATTTTGAAAATTTTAATATAAAAATCTTTTTTATAAAATAGCTGGAAATTGCCCCACCTTGCCCAACCCTATGCACGCCAGTGAACCAAACCTACTGGGGTGAGAAGTAATCACGCTTACTACTACACCACCGGCGCCACTAAAATTCCATATATATATTTAAAAATGAAGCTTATGTGCGATAATTTATTAGCTAGAGAAAGTTCTGAAGAGGATAGATTAATAGTTCTGCTAGAATACGGCACGGTGAAAATTGAACAGAACTTTCCCAAGCTAATAAATTATTGCACTAAAGCTTCATTTTTATATAAGTAAAGCATTTCCTCCCAACTCTGAAAATCGCAAACTTCACGTATGAAGTAACAACACACTTTGATTGTAAAAAAAGCTGCTGTTCTTAGCGAAAAAAGTAAGAAATATATGAGTGATCAAGTACACCCCACTGATCAGCTCCACTCCGTTTTACGGTATTTCAAACCCATCATAACACTGAAATAGTAAAAACCTCTCAGAACTTCCTTGACCTTATCAGTTCCCTCGACACTAATTAAAATGTATGTACTCGTTTGTAGCTCTTCTCCGAAGCTCTTTAAACCTCTCCTCTCTAACAGCTCAAAACGTTACAAATCCTCTCTTAAGCCGACGAAATTTCCTGAAGTTATCTGTAGTTCGTCAAATCTCTCAAAACTTTTTCGAGCTACCAGGGCTGGTACCCAAGCAACACAATTTGTCATAAACGGGTTTACATAACTTATTTATGACAATATCAGCGGTAAACATTTACGTCTAGTCACTTAAATACAACTTATTTATACCGAAAAAAGCGCAAGAGGTGGGATCTATATATAACATATGCTTGACTTGCGCAACTTATTTATGACTATAACGCAACCTACTGTATTGGACATGTTGTAAATTAATTTCATCATTCCTACGAATGGAATTTGTTTATCATCAATTTACAAAACTTATTCTCCTGAAGAATATTATCGTGTGAATAAAATGCCTAAACTGAGATTCCGTACTGCAAACATTTATGCGGTTACAAATTTATGGTAAATCTATACATTCTACTTCTAAAAAACTCATTGGCTCTTAGAAAAAGCTTAATATAATAAATTGAATTGCATAAAAAAATCTTGGATAAAATTCCTCAACTTTGCAAAAAACAAAAACAAATATAATATCAACTTTCTTTTCCAATTATCTTACTTATCTCTTTTACAAAACGTACATGTGATGTTGAAAGCACAAATTAAATGTTTTTTTTTTCATTCTATACATTGCTTCATTGGTCAGCCATATTGTAGTGCAGTTTGTAGAATGCATTAAGAAATTTCATAATTGTTATCAAAACATGTTTATAACACGACAAACAAGAGCATTACTTGTATCGTATATTGAAGTTATAATAAGGTATGGAAACTCTCAATAGCCTATTTATAACACTTTTATAACTGATTGTGTTTGATGAAAACTTGCTAGCCTTATATACAACATGTTTTCATATATCATTTTTGGAAACATGAGTACAACTGAAATATAACTTATTAATAACATGTTATAAATAAGTTATATCTCAGATGTATTCATGTTTCTAATAATGACATATGAAAACATGTTGTATATAAGGCTAGCCAGTTTTCACCAAATACAATCAGTTATAAATGTGTTATAAACTGGTAATTGAGACATGTAATATCAAATTATAACTTCAAGATAACAAGTGCTTGTCAGAAAGGTTGAATACTTCACAAACAACAATACAACGCGTCTAAAACAGGATGTTTTAGAAGCAATTAATATATAACTTATTTACAACTGGATTTTTTTTATTTTTCATGCAAGATGTTGCAAGTGTTACTTGGGTAGCGAGTCACTTTTTAGTGACTTGGTCACTTTTTTCAAGCCAGTCACTTAAAAGTCTCTTTTTTTTAAGGCCAAGTCACTAAAGTCATTTTTTCTTGTAATCAGTCACTATTTTCAACTACACACTTAGAAATAACTAATTTTACACGTGACGGAATTCGTCTTTGACATAAAAGATGAGCCGTAAACAAACGTGTCATGTAATATTAAGTGCTCCTAGACTGATAAGTTCGTTGCTCGACGAAAAGTACGTTTCATTGAGCTATATTTCGCGTCTGTTATGACTTAAATTTATGTCAAAATTGACGCTCGTATATGTCGCTCTCAGAGCACCTAAATTTACATGTTTTTTTTTAAGTGTGTATTTTAGCGTGAATTTATTTCAAGATTGATCATTCTTTGCTTTGTGGCGTTTAATCGTCTTTCTCTAACTATAGGGTGTCTACTCATTTTTCTAAATAGAATTACTTGAGTTTTCCAAATTTTTCCAGTACTTTAACGGATAAATTCCAGGTTTATAATAATAAAGCTATTTTTTAAATGCGTTAAAATATGCTTTTTTTTGTAGATCAAAAACAACAGCAATTTACCCAAACTTTTTTTAAGACATGGCAATCAGTTTAAAAAAAACAGCTTTGCGAGAACTTTAAGCAATCAGTGATATCTTCAAGAAATTCCAGAGAACTTATTATAAATTTAGATACTTTTAGATAGTTTCATGGTATTCGGTGAAGTTCCGAGTACTTCAAGGACGATCAGATAACTTCAGAATTATACCTCTAATTTAAGCAAATTTGCAGAGCAGAGACTTACAAGGAGTTCCGCTATGGGGTATTCTATGATTGTTTCAAAAACGTCAGAAGCGTCAGGAAATTATGAATATTTATCAGAAAACTTGCCGGATTATTAAACAAATTTAGATAACTTCAGGTAACCATAGATAAATTCAGGGAAAATTAGTGAGCATTTATAATGATTATAATACTTAACGAAAATTGTCGAAACTTCAAGGCTACGTTAGAAACATTGAGGAAACTTTAGGAAGGCCTATAAAGTTCAGGGAAGTTTAAGA